GGCGGGCGGGATTGGAAGGGAGCTTAGAGGTCTTCTAGTCCAACCCCAGGAGATCCAGAAGAAGGACCTATTATCCAAAAATCGGATCAGAGATTCGGGGGTTGTCGAGGGACTGAAGAACGTCTTCCCGCAGGAGAGGCCACGGGGTGGAGAAGTCATTTCAGTGGAGCCCCCTCGAGAGGCTCCTTGTGGAGGTGGGTTTGGCAAGGAGGGTCCCTGTTTTTCCTTTTCTTTCTGGAGGCGCCAGGGAGAGGCGTTGGCTCTGCCGAGGAAGCGCGGCTTGCAACGAGCTTTCTCTTGGCAGCTGTGCTTTTTGTCATGACACACACGTGTGCGAAGCTTGTGGTTTTTTTTGCGCCTGTTTTATTTTCTCCTCGGAAGTTAATGGGGTGGGTGGGTGGGAGGGAGGGAGGGAGCCGGGCAGGATGCGGTGGTCTGTTTTCATCCAATTTGCAGATTCCTCTCAGGAAGGATGGACACGGGCCTGGGCGTTTGGTCTTCCTGGGGATTACTGTAACCATCGTCCATATCCAACATGGGTTAGGGCGGGAATGTGGGGGGGGGGGACTGGGAGTAATGGGTCTGTAGGCCAACGTGCCACCAGGGCAGGGAAGATGGAAGGATGGAGGGTCTTAGGACAGGGTTTCTCAGTGTTGGGCACTTTAAGACACATGGACTTCAACTCCCAGAATTCCATCTTTAAGATAGGAGGACTTCAACTCCCAGAATTCCATCGTTAAGATAGGAGGACTTCATCTCCCAGAATTCCACGTTTAAGATGGGTGGACTTCATCTCCCAGAATTCCATGTTTAAGATGGGTGGACTTCATCTCCCAGAATTCCATGTTTAAGATGGGTGGACTTCATCTCCCAGAATTCCACGTTTAAGATGGGTGGACTTCATCTCCCAGAATTCCATGTTTAAGATGGGTGGATTTCATCTCCCAGAATTCCATGTTTAAGATGGGTGGATTTCATCTCCCAGAATTCCACGCTTAAGTTGGGTGGATTTCATCTCCCAGAATTCCACGCTTAAGATGGGTGGACTTCATCTCCCAGAATTCCACGTTTAAAATGGGTGGACCATCTTCCAGAATTCCCCATTTAAGATGGTTGAACTTCAACACCCAGAATTCCACATTTAAGATGGGTGGATTTCATCTCCCAGAATTCCATGCTTAAGTGGATGGACTTCAACTCCCAGAATTCCACGTTTAATATGGGTGGACCATCTTCCAGAATTCCCCATTTAAGATGGTTGAACTTCAACACCCAGAATTCCATGTTTAAGATAGATGTGCTATCTCCCAGAATTCCATGGTTAAGATGGGTGGACTTCAATTCCCAGAATTCCACACTTAAGATGGGTGGATTTCATCTCCCAGAATTCCACCCTTAAGTTAGGTGGGCTTCAGCACCTGGAATTCCATGCTTAAAATGGGTGGACTTCATCTCCTAAAATTCCATGCTTAAGACAGGTGGACCAACTCCCAGAATTCCACGCTTTAAGATGGGTGGACTTCAACCAGGCCGGCTGGGGAATTCTGGGAGTTGAAGTCCCCTTCAACTTGCTTTAAAGATCCGTTATGAAGGACCCTTGAGGGACCTTCAGGGTTTGGGGTTGGGCAAAATTTGCCGGTTGTCCTTAAGGAAACCCAAAGCTATGAGAGGCTGAGCCATCTCCAACAGGCCTCTCTCTTCCAGAACCAGGGATGGGAGTGATTTATGGAAACGAGGAACATCTGGCCGGAAGGCCGCCTGCTGCATAATGTATTTTGTCGGCAAGGCCTGGAATGCGTCACAATTTGGCTTCTTTCCCCATCTTGGGGGAAGGAGGAGCTGCATCTTAACACCTTCCACTCTTCGTTGGGTACACACACAGGATCATCGGCATGCTGTCCGATGAGGAGAGGGGCCTCTTCCGGGAACGCATCCGCTACCTGGACCGGAAGATCCAACCTGGCCTCAAGAAGCTCCACTGGTCCCTCAAGGGAGCCAGCACGGTCTTCATCTCGGAGTGTCGTCTCCATGCCAGCAAGGTCAGGACGAGGGCTCCTTGGGCCCCCAGGATGCCTTGAGAGACCCGAAAAATGAGGGTTGACATCCCGAGGTCCATAACTCACTGCGTAGCAGATCTGCCCCACTCCCAGTTGCTTTGTCCACTCGGCACAGGGGGATTGTGAAAGATGGAGGACATCTGGGTAGGGTTTCTCTCCTTCTGAGGTTCTGCTCCGGCAAGGAGTACCTCAGTCCCCTTATTGTGGAAATGATGGCATTAGCCTTCTCTTGCCTATCCTCAAGTGGCCTTCACTTCTAGCTTGGTTGCCCTCTTTGGTAACCCATCAGCTGCCTCTTGGGGCCAAAGCCACCTCCTGCTCCTCTGACTGTGTCCTCCAAGACAGAGGAGATGCCCGTTCTGACCCAGCCTTAGCAGAAGCAAGAAACAAACTCCTGGTCACGAAAAAAAAAACACCTCTTGTGAATTAATGGCCTCCACCCACCGAAAAGTCCAGGCAAGGAGTTAACCGTAGTAACAGACTTGATCAGTTCCTTGCGATAATTGCCAGGCCGAAGTTCTGGCAAACGGTCCTTGCGGCACGAAACGCCATGAGCAAAATCTCCAGAAATACGAACGGTTGTCTCCTACGACCACCACTCCCCCTTTCCTCCTGTTTATTTCCCCAGCCAGGGAGGGGCCATTCAGCGTCCACGTTTGCTTTGCTTCCCGAGTCGACTCCTTGTCCTCCGTTGCTCCCCTCTCCTAACTCCTCTGTGCATACCACGTGCATCTGGAACAGGCCCCAGCTGTTCTTCCTCCTCACTCATCTCAGTTTCCGAAGGCAGCTGCCTCTCCGGTGGCTGGGAAATGTCGGACGGCTCTGGCTCTATCTCTGCGTCCGTCGCAGAGCATCCATCAGAGTCCAGCACTGGCCCAAGTTCCTCTCCATCTCCTCATCGTCCGAGTCTGCAGCCAGCTCCGCTGGCAGCTGGTGGCCCACAACAATGCCCTTGAGATCCCTTCTGATCTCTTGGGACGGCTATGTCGTCTCCTCTTGCCATTCTGAGTGTGGTCCTCCAGGCCCACTAGGAGCCACCTCTTCCCAACGTCTGTGGCTCTTCTCCCATCTTCTCTCCTGATGTCCTCCCTCTTCCCACAGGTCCAGAACATTGTGAACGAATACAAAGCGGCCACCTTGGCTATTGCTCGCCGGGCCCAGCAGATGAGCGAGGCTCTGTTGGTCCGGATCACCGGGAAGCGAGTCTACAACGACCTGGAGTTTGAAGAGGACCAGAAAGAGCACCGGGACATGGTGCAGAAGAAGCTGGTCACCTTCCACGAAGGCAGCATCGCCATCATGCGGCAGACGTACGAAGTCTTCAAGAACGATGGGTCGGAGGTGAGGAGGACCAGCGAGTAGCCGTTGGCCAGGGAGATCTTCGTGAGCGGCATGCTTGAAGGACACAGGGCCGAACCCCTGTGTGATGCTTTCAGAAATTATTATTTCTTCTTCTCCTTCTCCTCCTTCTCCTTCTCCTTCTCCTTCTCCTTCTTCTTCTGCTTCTCCTCCTCCTTCTTCTCCTCCTTCTCCCTTTTTTCCTTCTCCTTCTCCTTCTCCTTCTGTTTCTGCTTCTGCTTCTCCTTCCCCTTCTGCTCCTCCTCCTCCTTCTTCTTCCTCCTCCTGCTGCTTCTTCTCCTTTCCCTTCTTCTCCCTCTTCTCCTTCTCCTTGTTTCTCTTTCTTCTTCCTCTTCTTGTCCTCCTCCATCTTGTCCTCCTTCTTTCTGCTTCTTCTCCTCCTTCTCCCTCTCCCTCTCCCTCTCCCTCTCCCTCTCCCTCTCCCTCCTCCTCCTCCTCCTCCTCCTCCTCCTCCTCTTCTTCTTCTTCTTCCTCCTCCTCCTCCTCCTCCTCCTCCTCCTCCTCCTCCTCCCTCCTCTTACTCCTCCTGCTTCTTCTCCTTCCCCTTCTTCTCCCTCTTCTCCTTTTGCTTCTCCTTCTCCTTCTTCTTCTCCCTCTTGTCCTTCTGCTTCTGCTTCTCCTCCTCCTTCTTCTCCTCCTTCTCCCTTTTTTCCTTCTGCTTCTCCTTCAGCTTGTTCTCCTTCTCCTTCTGCTTCTCCTTCTCTTCCTCCTTCTTGTTCCTCCTCCTCCTCCCCCTACTACTTCTTCCCCTTCCCCTTCTTTGATGTGTCTTTGATGCTGTCTCTCCATCTTCTTCTCGGTCTGCCTCATGTTCTTTGGCCTTCTCCTCTTTTTCGCGTATGTCTTGTGTGGTATAGAATCCCAAGAATTCAGAATTTAGTAGCACCTGAAAATTGGTGGTTGGTATCCGCTGGAATGGTGGGGTGGTGACCCCTGGTGTTTCAGTGAAGGCCCTGTGTGATTGAAGGGGCTACATCGTCCCTTGATCTGGTGATGTCCAGCGGCTGCCTTTGCCATGGATGTTGAAGGCCCACTTAGGATCCTGAGGAAGGCTTTCTCCTCCTCACCTCAGTGGGCTGGTCGAGGCCCTCTTCTGCAGATTCCCAGTGGACCTTTCCTGATGCCAACCCATCCATCCCCTCTTCCCCGACTCTTCTCCATCAGGTCCAGCAGCACTGGTTCAACTACACGGTCAGGATGAACCGGATGATGGAGGACGCCCTGCGGCTGAACGTCAAGTGGTCCCTGATGGAGCTCTCCAGGGCCATCAACGGCGATGGCAAGACCAGCCCCAACCCGCTCTTCCGGGTGAAGGTCATTCTGCAGGACAACTCTCCTGGGCAGACTCCCCAGGTGAGCCCTGGAGGCTTTCTCGCATCTAAGGGCAACCTTTCTCCTCCTGAAGTGTGCAGATGAAGGTTAGATCTCTGCTTTGTTTCCAGAATCAAAGGACATGCCAAGCTCCTTTGAGGAACCTGAAAAACGGGTCCACCTTCTCCTGAGCTTGTGGTCCTGTCCTCAGCAGCCGCCCTTTCGACTCTAGCAGAGTTGTGGGTCTGGAGATCCCAGATTTCATTGATTTTTCTTCCTCCTGGCCTCGCCTTGTTTCTTGGTAGACCTTGAGGTCCCCTTGTTGACCGTTGTTGACTCCCTGGCTGGTTTCTGCTCTCCTAGGTGGCCTTCTCCCCTTCGCTTCTCCAGCTGGCAAGCATGGTCAATGACATCAGCAGCCACCTGATCTCCAGCATCACTGTCTTCCGGCATCTTCCGGAGATCCTCGTCCGGCGGAAGTTTGCCCGCGACCCCATTTCTGTCCTCGTGGGTAAGGTAGCCTCCTTAGGCGGGTCACTTGTCCCCAGTCCACCAAGGTCTGTTGGGGTTCAGATTATAGATTAAAAAAAAGTTGGAAGGGACCTTGTAGATCATCTAGTCCAACCCCCCACCCAAGCAGGAAACCCTACACCATTTCTGACAGATGGCAGTCCAGTCTCTTCTTGAAAGCCTCCAGTGATGAAGTTCCCGCAACTTCTGAAGGCAACTTCTGGTTCATCGGTTGATTGATCTCACTGTCAGAAAATGTCTCCTTATTTCTAGGTTGAATCTCTCCTTGATCAGTTTCCATCCATTATTTCTTGTCTGGCCTTCGGGTGCTTTGGAGAATAGCTTGACCCCCCTCCTCTCTGTGTTAGCCCCCCAAATATGGGAAGATGGATATCCTGTCTCCCCTGGTCCTTCTCTTCACTAGACCAGCCATGCCCAGTTTCTGCAACCATTCTTCATATGTTTTAGCCTCCAGTCCCCTCATCATCCTGGTTGCTCTTCTCTGCACTCTTTCTAAAGTCTCAACGTCCTTTTTATAGTGTGGTGACCAAAACTGGATGCAGGACTCTAGGTGTGGCCTTACTAAGGCTTTATAGAGGGGTATTAGTACCTCCCTTGATCTAGATTGTATCCCTCTGTTTGTTTGTTTGTTTATGTTTGTTTGTTTATTTGATTTATATACCGCCCTACTCCCGGAGGACTCAGGGCGGTGAACAGCCACAGGATAAAAACACATAAATACAAAATTTAAAACTGAATACAACCGAATTAAACAATTTGGCCGAAGACAGATTTAAAACACCCCAATAAATTAAGAACAAATTAAAATTTGCGTTTTAAAAAGGGAAAAAAGGGAATAATTAGGCCAGGCCAGCCTGATGGAATAAAAAGGTCTTGAGAGCACAGCGGAAGGTGCGCAGATCCGGGATCCTCCGTATCTCCGGGGGGAGCTCGTTCCAGATAGTAGGTGCCCCCACAGAGAAGGCTCTCCCCCTGGGGGCCGCCAGTCGACATTGTTTAGCTGACGGCACCCGGAGGAGCCCCTCTCTATGGGAGCGTACCGGCCGGTGGGAGGCTATTGGTGGTAGTAGGCGGTCCCGCAAGTACCCGGGTCCTAAGCCATGGAGCGCTTTAAAGGTGGTAACCAAAACCTTGAAGCGTACTCGGAAGACCACCGGGAGCCAGTGCAGCTCGCGCAGGAGAGGTGTTACATGGGAGCGCCACGTTGCTCCCATAACCACCCGCGCGGCCGCACTCTGCGCCAGTTGGAGCCTCCGAGTGCTCCTCAAGGGGAGCCCCATGTAGAGAGCGTTGCAATAGTCCAGGCGGGAAGTGACAAGGGCATGAGTGACCGTGCGTAAGGAGTCCCGATCCAGAAAGGGACGCAACTGGCGAATCAGGCGAACCTGATGAAAAATCCTCCCGGTCACGGCCGTCAAATGCTCTTCTAAAGACAGCCGTGAATCCAGGAGGACGCCCAAGTTGCGCGTCCTCTCCGTGGAGGCCAATGATTCGCCCCCAATAGTCAGCGAAGGCACCAACTGACTATATCGGGACGTTGGAAACCACAGCCACTCGGTCTTGGATGGGTTGAGTCTGAGTCTGTTAATGCAATTTAGGATTGCGTTGGCTTTTATGGCTGCCGCCGCACACGGCTGGCTCATATTTAGCTGGTTGTCCACTAAGACTCCAAGATCCCTCTCACAGTGACCGCTATTAAGCCTGGTTTCCCCCAGTCTGTATGTGTACTTGTGGTTTTTCTTGTCTCAGTGTAAGACTTGACTTTTCTCTACGTTGAATTTCATTTTATTAGATAGGGCCCAGGGTTCGAGACTGTCAAGATCCATCTGGATCTTGAGCCTAGTTCAGACACAGGACCTCAGAGAACGTCTCTGAGTGCGTGGACTCTGCCCGTTTCCTCCTTCCCAGGTTAGATGAATGCAGTCGCCCGTCGGTTCAGACCTTGTCTTGAATGAAGCTAGGTAGAAAAGCAGAGAGAGGTTCCTCACACGAAGAGAATGGTTGGGTACCCCATAACTGGGAGCTTCGGCTAAACCATAAGGCTGTGGCCAAGCAGTTATGGAGACAACACTTCTGCTTTGTCCCTCAAATTAGGGTTCCAGGTGCAATTCACGGTGCTGGTTCACACACCTCGGCGAAGATCCGTGATGGTGAACCTATGACACGTGTGCCACAGGTGGCACGTATAGCCATATCAGTGGGCACGCGAGCTCAGCTCTGGCGCGAAACAGGCTGTTTCCTGACTCTGGAGAGCCTCGGGGGAGTGTGGGAGGAAAGCCCGTTTTTTGCTGTCCCCAGCCTCCAGAGCCTCTCTAGGAAGTTGGCAAACGGGCCAGTTTCGGCGTCCGGAGGGCCTCCAGGGGGCTGGGGAAGGCAGTTTTCACTCTCCGCAGACTCCTAGAGAGGCTCTGGAGGCTGGGGACAGCAAAAAACGGGCCTTCCGGTCCTACCGGAAGTTGGCAAACGGGCCATTTCTGGCCTCCGGAGGGCCTCGGGGATGGGGTGGGGTGAGGAAGGCCGTTTTTGCCCTCCCCAGACTCCTAGAAAGGCTCTGGAGCCAAGTGAGAGAGAAAAACAGGCCTACTGGGCCATCATGTGCCAGGAATGGGGTGGGGGCAGTCCGGCGGGGCACATAGAATTATGGGTAGGGGCATGTGGGTGCGCAACCCCCCTAGGCCCACCCCTCCTTGAACAGGATGGCAAAAAGGTTAGCTATCACTGGCCTAGTGATGGCGAACTTATGGCACCTCTGCCCAATGTGGCACGCGAAGCCATGTTGCCCAGTACGCACGGCCTAGCCTGTTTGTGTTCCGGGTTTCTGGCGCGCATGCACACACAACGACCAGCAGTCTGTGTGCACGGCAGTGCTGAAAACCAGCCTGCGCATGCATGCCAGCCAGCTGATCGTCGGGCACGCATCCATGCTAGAACCCGGGAGTTCGGCTTTTCCGGAGCACGGCCCCGACAGGTGTGCGTGCGATGTTTCCGCGCGACCTTTTTGGCACTCGGCGGCTCAGTCACTGGCCTAGGTGATCTGAGGGACCATCTCTCTTGTGTGTTGAATTTATATTTTACTCATTTTATTCGGTAGACAAGGTTGCCCTGATCGACCTGGTCTCACCGGAAAAAAAACCACTTAATCTCTCCCCTGGTATAGCCGACAAAGCGAGGAGAGCCCGTGGCTTAGAGGTTAATACCAGAGGCGTGCGCCGAAAATGTGAGCGCACGCGGCTTACACGCACGCACGCGGCTTAAAAAATGTGGCTAAATAGGACGGCATAGCGCCAGGACAGGTAACCTTTTGGCCCACCCGCAGGTCGTAACTAGCGGGTCGCCTGAACCGGTCTGAACCGCCGGCAGCCCACCACTGGTTTGTTTGTTTGTTTGTTTATTTATTTATTTATTTATTTATTTATTTATTTATTTATTTATTTATTTATTTATTTATTAAATTTATATACCGCCCTATTCCTGAGGGACTCAGGGCGGTGAACAGCAAACAATAAAAAATACATGTAATACAAATGTTAATTAAACAAAAACCAATTAAAATATACTAAACACTCTGGTCCTAGATAATTCAAGACATCCCAGTTTAAAATAAAATCAAAAAGCAATATAAAGGGAAAGTTAGGCCAGGCCGGCCTGCTGAAACAGGAATGTTTTGAGGGCACGGCGGAAAGTGCGCAGATCCGGAATCTTCTGTATCTCTGGGGGGAGCTCGTTCCAGATGGTGGGTGCCCTCACAGAAAAAGCTCTCTCCCTGGGGGCCGCCAGTCAACACTGTTTGGCTGACGGCACCCTGAGAAGCCCCTCTCTATGGGAGCGTACTGGGCGGTGGGAGGCTATTGGTGGCAGAAGGCGGTCTCGTAAGTACCCCGGTCCTAAGCCATGGAGTGCTCTAAAGGTGGTAACTAAGACCTTGAAGCGCACCCAGAAGACCACCGGGAGCCAGTGCAGCTCGCGCAGGAGGGGAGCCATATGGTTAATACATCTACCTAATATGCAAGTAACCTGGGTTTGAATCCCAGAAAAGATATGGCTAGCTGATGAGAGCTAAATAGCTCGAAAGAGTAGCATGGCATGGCATGACATAGGACAGTGATGGCTAACCTTTTTGTCATCGTGTACCAGGAGGGGGAGAGGGGGGGAGGTCCGCGTGCGCCAAGACCCATAATTCTATGCACCCCACCCTGTGTGTCAACCCTCCCTCCCCCTGCTCCTGACACGTGATGGCCCGATAGGCCCGTTTATCTTTCTCACCTGGCTCCAGATCCTCTCTATGCATCTGGGGAGGGCAAAAACAGCCTTCCCCACCCCTTCGGAGGCCCTCCGGAGGCCTGAAACGGCCCGTTTCCCAACTCTCGGTTGGACAGGAAGTGACGTATTTTGCTGTCCCCCAGCCTCCAGAGCCTCTCTAGGAGTGGCACGTGTGCTATAGGTTCGCCATCACGGGCATAAGATCTCCCCGAGTCCTACTGACTGTGCGGGATAATTGGTGCGGAATCTCGGGAAGTCCTGGGTAACTAGGTGTTCCTTCTTCCTTCAGAGCGGGATGAAGACATCAAGAAAATCCAGACTCAGATCAGCAATGGCATGCAGAACAACGCTGCCCTCCTCCAGGCCTACCTGAAGACCTGGGACGTCTACCGAGAGATTTGGGAAGTCAACAAAGACGCCTTTATCAACCGATACCGGCACCTCAACCCACTGGTCTCGTCCTTCGACGCCGATACTGCTCGGTAAGGGGCTTCTCGGGCTACGGGGGTAGAGGCAATCGACTGACCTACTACTGACACCAAACCTAGAGGTGTCTTGAAGGCTTGAAGAACATCAAGAGATACCCTCAAAGTATTCCAATTCCCCTTTAGACCCATCCTTTTTAGTAGCCATCGTCATGTCTGGCAGATAAGAATGGAATGGAATGGAAATAGAATAGAATAGAATAGAATAGAATAGAATAGAATAGAATAGAATAGAATAGAATAGAATAGAATAGAATAGAATAGAATAGAAAAGATGGAATGGAATAGAATGGAATGGAATGGAATAGAATAGAATAGAATAGAATAGAATAGAATAGAATAGAATAGAATAGAATAGAATAGAATAGAAAAGATGGAATGGAATAGAATAGAATGGTAAGGAATGGAATGGAATGGAATGGAATAGAATAGAATAGAATAGAATAGAATAGAATAGAATAGAATAGAATAGAATAGAATAGAAAAGATGGAATGGAATGGAATAGAATTAGAATAGAAAATGGAATGGAATGGAATAGAATAGAATAGAATAGAATAGAATAGAATAGAATAGAATAGAATAGAATAGAATAGAAAATATGGAATGGAATGGAATGGAATGGAATTAGAATAGAATGGAAATAATAGAATAGAAATAGAAATAGAATAGAATAGAATAGAATAGAATAGAATAGAATAGAATAGAATAGAATAGAATAGAAAATATGGAATGGAATGGAATTAGAATAGAATGGAAATAATAGAATAGAAATAGAAATAGAAATAGAATAGAATAGAATAGAATAGAATAGAATAGAATAGAATAGAATAGAATAGAATAGAAAATATGGAATGGAATGGAATGGAATTAGAATAGAATGGAAATAATAGAATAGAAAATATGGAATGGAATGGAATGGAATTAGAATAGAATGGAAATAATAGAATAGAAATAGAAATAGAATAGAAATAGAATAGAATAGAATAGAATAGAATAGAATAGAATAGAAAAGATGGAATAGAATAGAATAGAATAGAATAGAATAGAATAGAATAGAATAGAATAGAATAGAATAGAATAGAAAATATGGAATGGAATGGAATGGAATTAGAATAGAATGGAAATAATAGAATAGAAAATATGGAATGGAATGGAATGGAATTAGAATAGAATGGAAATAATAGAATAGAATAGAATAGAATAGAATAGAATAGAATAGAATAGAATAGAATAGAATAGAATAGAATAGAATAGAAAAGATGGAATGGAATGGAATAGAATTAGAATAGAAAATGGAATGGAATGGAATGGAATGGAATGGAATAGAATAGAATAGAATAGAATAGAATAGAATAGAATAGAATAGAATAGAAAATATGGAATGGAATGGAATGGAATGGAATTAGAATAGAATGGAAATAATAGAATAGAAATAGAAATAGAAATAGAATAGAATAGAATAGAATAGAATAGAATAGAATAGAATAGAAAATATGGAATGGAATGGAATTAGAATAGAATGGAAATAATAGGATAGAAATAGAAATAGAAATAGAAATAGAATAGAATAGAATAGAATAGAATAGAATAGAATAGAATAGAATAGAATAGAATAGAATAGAATAGAATAGAAAATATGGAATGGAATGGAATGGAATTAGAATAGAATGGAAATAATAGAATAGAAAATATGGAATGGAATGGAATGGAATTAGAATAGAATGGAAATAATAGAATAGAAATAGAAATAGAATAGAATAGAATAGAATAGAATAGAATAGAATAGAATAGAAAATATGGAATGGAATGGAATAGAATTAGAATAGAATGGAAATAATAGAATAGAAAATATGGAATGGAATGGAATGGAATTAGAATAGAATGGAAATAATAGAATAGAAATAGAAATAGAAATAGAAATAGAATAGAATAGAATAGAATAGAATAGAATAGAATAGAATAGAATAGAATAGAATAGAATAGAATAGAAAATATGGAATGGAATGGAATGGAATGGAATTAGAATAGAATGGAATAGAACAACAGAGTTGGAAGGGACCTTGGAGGTCCTCTAGTCCAACCTGCTGAATGAATAGGATAGGATAGGATAGGATAGGATAGAATAAAATAATATATAGAGAATAGAACAGAACAGAATTAATAGAAAATAGAATAGAATAGAATTAATAGAGAATAGAATAGAACAGAACAACAGAAGGGACCTTGGAGGTCCTCTAGTCCAACCCCCTGCTCAGGCAAGAAACCATTTCAGACAAATGGTTGTTCTCCCTGACAAGAAGTTTCTCCTTATTTCGAGGTTGCTTCTCTCCTTGTTTAGTTTCCACCCGTTGCTTCTTGTCCTACCTTCTGGTGCTTTGGAGGATAGCTTGACTCCCTCTTCTTCAGGGCAGCCCCTCAAATATTGGAAGTCTGCTATTGTGTCTTCCCTAGTCCTTCTTTTCATCAAACTGGACATCCCCAATTCCAGCAACCATTCTTTATATGGACCCCACGAAGCATTTGATCCCATCAAGGCCCATTTGATCAGACCCAGCATTGGTTTTTCATGGCAACTTAGCAGGTGGCTCTGAGGACCTCCCAGCAGGAGAAGGCCTCTCCTGCCAGAATCCTCCACCCCCCCCCCAACGGTCAATGGAGGCCTCTTCCCTCAACCTTGGAGGTAGCATGGAGTCTCCTTGAGGCCTCCTAGCCTTCGATAGATCTGTCCCCCGGGAACGGATCCATTTTCCTCCCCCCTCCAGGTCGGTGGCCATCCCCACCTTGAGTCATGAATTCTCACGAGTTAATTATGCGCTTCTGTGAAGAGGTACTTTATCTCTCGTAAATCTCCTTTAAGTCAGCTCCGTTGCGCAATTAGATGCTTCAAACCTTGCCGGCACGACGCTAATAAGCTGTTTGTGCGCGCACGCATAAGGGGTGGATGATGAGGGGACCGTTCAGATCCACGAGTCACGGGATGCCGCTGCCGGAACAGGTGTGACGCCGGATGGTGTCCATGAAGAACCAATCCAGTGGGAGGTTGAAGGGCTGCAGGTCCCAGGAGAGGTTCTTCAGACCAGGAGAGAGAACAGCTGACTGGGTCTGGTTCAGTGGTGGGATTCAGCCGGTTCGGGCCAGTTCAGGCGAACCGGTAGTTAAATTTCTGGCTGACCCCGTCCCTCCCCATCCTGCCCCTTCCAGGAGTCCCCATGCGCCCCATTTTGGCTCCCATGTAAATGCAGGGAGGCCTCCTAGGCCCAAAACAGGCTGCGGGGATGCGGCAGCACCTCCGCGGCCTGTTTTTGCTCCCAGAAGGCTTCAGGGAGGCTGCGTAGGCCCAAAACATGGCACAGTTGGCGGTGCATCCCCGCCCCCGGCCCATTTTTGCTCCCAGGGGGATGCAGGAGGCGGAGTGCTGCCTGTCACACCCCCTGACCACGCCCACCATGGCCACGCCCACCCAACTGGTGTTTAGGGCAGAGAACCGGTTGTTAAATTATTTCAATCCCACCACTGGTCTGGTTGACCCAAAGCCACAGGTCCACGTAGGACCATTTCAGATCTTCTCAATGGCCCAAGAAGACAAGTCAGGTTCTCCAAAGAGGTCAATTTTTGAAGAAGAATCCGCTGGTCCGGAGAGTGGCGCGGTGGCCTAGAAGTGGATCTCTCGCCCCACAATCAGGAGGCTGTGAGTTCAATCCTAGGTAGAGGCAGATATTTCTCTCTCTGGGCACACTGAAAATATATCTGCTGAACAAAATTCCGCACTGGCGACAGGGAAGGGCATCCGGCCAGTAAAACAGTCAGCTCCATTCAGTTGCCCAGACTCCACCCCGCAAAGGATTATGGGGTCGTTAAAAGATTATTATGATATAAACCTAAATGCTGAGTGGTGCAGTGGCCTAGAGGCAGGAGGCCGTGAGTTCAATCCTAGGTAGAGGCAGATATTTCTCTCTCTCTCAGCACAATGAGAAATATATCTGCTGAACAAAACTCCGCACTGGCAACAAGAAAAGCATCCGGCCAGTAAAACACTTAGCTCCAGTCAGTTGCCCAGACTCCATCCCGCAAGGAATTATGGGGTCGTTAAAAGGTGATGAATCCGCTGGTCCGGAATAGTTTCAGGAGAGGATAAGCTGAGCATGGAAACCCACCTCCGAGCAGATGTCCACCTCAAGTGGGCAGGGAAGGCCAGGAAAGATAGAAATGTGCGGGGTATTCTCTACGAGGAATGTTTCTTGCTTGAGTAGGGGGTTAGACACCAAGATCCCTTCCAACTGTTATTGTGTTACACCCATTTCTTTGGTGACCAATCGAAGTTACAACGTCAGTGTAAAAAGGGAACTTACGACCGATTCTCACACTTAATGACCGTTGAACCATCCCCCGCTGTAACGTGACCATAATTCGGACACTTGGCAACTGGCTCCTCTTTATGACGGCTGCAACATCCCGGGCCTTCTGACGAGCAAAGTCAATGGGGAAGCCATTAACATCCATGTTCCTAACTTACCACTACAGTGATTCACTTAACAGCTGTTGTAAAATGGGGCAAAAGTCACTTAACAACTCTCTCCCATAGCAGTGGAAAGGTTGGTCTCAATTGGTCTCTTATCTGTAATTACAATTCGTGTATAAGTGTAGTAATTATTAAGGATAACTCTAATTGTAATTAAGAGGCCAACGCGGGGCTGATGACTCCCGGGGCGCCTCGGTGGTTGCCAGTGAATGGCATCCATTCCAGGAGCAGAACAGCTGAGGCCCATGGGACCAAAGTCTCCCCTCCCTCTCTCTCCCCCCCCAACCCGTCTTTCCCCACTGAGCCTTTGGCAGGCTTCCCATGTCCGCCCTCCGCTGTGGGTCGGCAGGACCGCTGCTGTTGCTGCCGCCCTGCCCATTCCCCCTGGAATTGAGCGTCTCGCGCGAGCCACGGCAAACGAGGAGCAGCCGGGAGATGGAAAAACCTGTTTCCATGCAAAATGTCAAAAGCGATTGG